TTACAAAGCCTTCTGCACTTTACACAATCCCTTCAATCATAACAGTTACACAACTCTTCAAAACTTAGAAGGTGGCCTCTTTCCAATGCTGGGCAGTTGATTTAGACATCTACATACTTGCTGATGTCAAAATGTGGAAAGGATGTTTAGAAGTTGGGAAAAAGATTGAGTTATTAGCAAGATACAGTGGATGGAAGTACAGCACACAGCACTGACTGACAGTTCCAATATTATCTTTGATATACTGATCAGTTCTCAAGGGCTGAGAAAAGGAAAATGGGGTGAACTTTCAGCTGCATGGAATGAACGGCCGTTCAACGTATTAAACATCTCATGGCTCAGCAACTGTCATGTTGAATGCTCCTCTTCTCACTCCTAATTCAGAGTAAAACAGATATATGCGGCAGCTCAGTGGGGATTAATTTGATGAGGCTAACAGGCATATTTTAAAGTGGAGTGGATAAATGTATAACTCTATCAACACCACAGCTACAAAAAAGCACTAGCCAGAAAACAAAATGGCCACCATGCCTTTCATATGGGCAAAAATCTTGGCCTAGTCTTTTTATTTGTCTGTTTGGTGAGGTGGGGGCATTATTAAATCCCAATACACCTCCACAGGAAGCTATTTGTAAAAAAAAAATCCACTGACTAGGAAACTGACATTGGACCAAAATTCTCTTTATATTGTTCTAGTTTGCACCAGTTAACTATTAATACATCTTTCCCCTTTCTTAGATAAAATAAAAGTGTTCCATTTAAATCCATGTCTGAAATGATAATACTTTCAAGAGCCTTGGCTTGGTTATGTGAGGCAATTGTCTCTTATTCTAGAAAAACTGAATACATTTTTATTCAGCACAGGATGAGAGTCATACTTGACTTTCCTCATGTATTATACTAAAATCTTGAAAGTGATATTGAAAATCACCGTTCCTATCTATTTTATCAACTGTTCATCAAAAATATTGCTAATATTAAACAACAAATGGAAACAACTGCCCTTATTCAGAAAATGAGATAGTATGAATATTCTGTTTGGAGTAAGACAGACATCTCATTCATTGTCAGATCTATGAGTCCCAAATACAGTAAGTGTTTCTGACTGTTGCCAGTTGACACAATGATTACATCTTTTATTACAAATAAACTGATTTACAATTCTGTTTCTCAATATTATTTTCCAAGGAACTGTGTAAATGTTTCATTGTACATGAATAAAATACATGCAGTCCTCAACTTACAACCAATTGTTCAATGGCCATTCAAAGTTACAATGGCATTGGAAAAAGTGAGTTATGACCAGTTTTCATACTTAATTATTGTTGCAGCATCTCCATGGTCATGTGATCAAAATTTGGGTGCTTGGCAACTGGCATATATTTATGACAGTTGCAATGTCCTGGAGTCATATGATCACCATTTGTAACCTTCCCAGCTTGCTTCCAGCAGCCAAAGTCAATAGGAAAGTCAGATTTGCTTAATAGCTTCATGATTCAGTTAACAACTGCAGTAATTCGCTTAGCAACTGTGGCAAAAAAGATTGTAAAATGGGGTGCAACTCACTTAACAATTTTTTTGCTTAGCAAGGATGGTCTCAATTGTGGTCATAAGTTGAGGACTACCTGTAAGCAGACCTTCTACTGTTCTTTGTCAAAGACCTAAATTCTAAGCCACTTCTTACAAAAGTTTGCATGCTTTTCTGGAAGTGAAATACCCTGTTACTCAGGAATAAGCAAAGGTGCGGACTATGGCTTTTGAAACGTCCCTATACAACAGACATGTCAAACACAAGGCCCGGGGGCCAGATGCGGCCCGCGAAGTGGTTTCATGTGGTTTCATGTGGCCTGCGAAGCCATCCTGGAAACAGTGAGGGAACGGCCCCCACTGCCTTGGCCCTGGCCCAGGCCGGCTGGGAGCCAATGTACAATTGTGTGGTGGCCATCTATGCTGAAACACATTCAGTCTTAGCTCCACAAGGCTGTCTAGAAACAGCGAGAAACCGGCCCCTGCTGTGTCGGGCCCACCCCTGGGTGCATGCTGGGGAGGTGTCACCCTTTGTGAGGAATGAAGAAATGGACCATGCTTGGCGCTTGCCCTGGTCCCACCCCCTTCTGCCAGAGACACTCAGATCTGTCCCACTCCTGCCCAGGCCCCCACAGGCACCCTTGACGCGAACAATGTAGAGCTGGCCTTGCCCACCCAGTAGGCCACACCCACTCCATCCACGCCCACCCAGTAGGCCGCACCCACCCGGCCCCCCGAGGGCAACCACAATGCTGATGCGGCCCTCAATGAAATTGAGTTTGACACCCCTGCTATACAACATGCTTCGGCTTTTCAAGATATGACAGTGGCTTCTCTCATCTAACACTGTTACAGATCGAGGCATCTCATCCCTTCTATCAACAGCTGGTTGAAAGACATAGAAACTATTGAATTCTTAGCAGCTCTCCTCAGTTTTTGTGCACTTCAGATATCATAGACTACATTTCCCCTCACTCCAGCTTAAGTGGCTAGGGTTAATGGGAGTCATAACCTTGCTTGCATACCTGGAGGGCACCAAATTGGGAAATATGGCTGTCTAGGTAGGAGAATGTAGAAACAACAATAGGAGGACAAAAAGCGGTAGAATATCTGTCTGTTCTAGATGTCTTTAAAACTTCTCTCCCTAAATCAGAGAATTACTAAGGCATCAATCCTATATCCATTTAGCTCCATTAGCAAAATATATAGGTGGCGACTAAAATACATAGGAATTGCACTGTAAGATCTTTTTTATTCCCATTCCTTTTTCCTCAATTCTTATTTTACAGCGAGATTTAAAACAAAAACACTAACTTATAGCCAAAATTAGGAAGAGGAAATGAGCAGTCTTGCCTCAACTAAAAGTATTAGATAAGAACTGTAGCACTCTTTTTCTATAAATATTTGGTATAATCATGTATTGAGAACCTAGTAATGCTTAACCCTTAGTCTTTTTTCTGATATAGTCATTAATAGGTAGTTTCGTGGTGAGGCTTATTATTAAAATGATGATTATCCTCTTGTAAAGGAGAATTGTCCCTTCCCTTGGAACTAGAAGCACCTGCAAGATGCAAGATTTAAAACTATAATAATGGGATGAGAAAACTTCAGCAAGTGCTACAAAAATATGGGTAAAAATCCTAATATTAGTATCAAAAGGTTTGATTTTTTTTTTTTTTTAAAGGAGGGCATACTTTGAAGGATTATAATCCTATCCACAATTTGCTAACATAAAGAAAATTTTGGCATAATATATATATATATATATATTATAAAACAAAATTGTTGTGATTTTTAATTATTCCCCTTAATTTTGATTCTGCTGAAAATAGCTGGCAGTGTAATCAGCTTATAAATTCTTGGCAAATCATCCAAATTTTAAGCAGTCATAGGATATGTCTAATAAATTGTAATGTTGCTATACCAAAAGTATTGTAAACATGTTTTAGGCTATGTAAAACTATTGTCAAACATTTTAAATCCAAGAGTAAACTTTTTGGATAAACGTATTTTTTCCATTTATAAAATGCTTCAAACTGCTTTCTAACAAACTGGAAACCTATTGCAGTTATATAATAAACCAGTTTAAGCTTGTAGCAAAAATGTAAACATGTTTTTAACAAATCAAAATTATTACAAGTTGGATAGTAAATGCTAGTAAATATAACCTGCTTCCAGGAAGTTTGTAGCAAATTTTCCCTAACACTCTTATTAATATCAAACATTTCATAAACATACATGTGTAAACCACAAGTTGTCAAACAGATAAATGCATAAGCAAAACTGTAATAAAACCCAAAAAAATTAATTGAAAACAAACCAAAAAACTTTATGAATAGCTTAATAGATTGGCTAATGTGTAACACGCTATTATGTTCTAGCATCAAACTGCAGGCTCTATAAATTATTATTTCTAGTATGTGGAAGTTTTGTAATAAGATGGTTAGGATATCCTACATTATGTTTACTAAAATTTTACATATGGAATCTACACATATTACATTTTACAATTTCAACCTACCTAGTCCTATTTTGGACAGAGTGTCAATAACTTAAGCAGGAGTATATTTGAAGTACTGCAGAATCCAGAAATTCTAATCTCACTCTTATCCTGCAAACCTATAACATCTCCTCAGAAGTATCTGTGAATTAAATAGGATTTACTTCCAGCTAAATGGATATAAATTCTAGCTTTAGTCAAAACATAAAGCCATTATGAAATTGTAGAAAACTTATTTTTAAACAAAGTTTTCAAGTGTTCTGTTATATTTTTTATCCGAGATCTAACTTTATAAAGATGTTTTATAATACAGTCTCCAAAATTTTTTAGTTATTGTAATTGAAGCTCAATGTAACTTTTAGAAAATCTATTATTGAACATATATTTGTAGACATTGTTGATTATAGATTTCCATACAAGGTCTAGTTTTCAAACATGATAATACAGCAGCATTCAAAATGTGTATGAAATGATATCCCTTAAAGAAATTTAGTTTTGAACCTATAGTGTAATCAAATAAAGAGGATTAACAGTAGATTTATTTTGAGTCTGGTTGCCAAATTTGACAGATAAACTATTACTATGTAGTAATGCTTGTGAGGGGGAAAAGGCTGTTTTTACATAAGGCTCGATTTTCAAACGCACAAGTCAAATCTGAAATACATATCTAAATCAGCATAAATTGTTTTGTAAGCTTCGTGGTTGGCTTATAGTAAATCGGTCACTTGTCTCCAATTACTAAGTAAGCATTCTTTCTTTTTTCACACAGTGGGTTAAAAAGTGTTTTTTTCTCTCTCGGAGATTTTTTTTTTCCAAACAAGAAATGGCTCTGAGAAAAGAGACAAGCTCACAAGTTACCTTCCCTCCCCCCCCCCAACAGACCTATTCAGGGGAGCCTCACCCACACACTCCCATTTGCTTTGGATGGGAGATGGAATGGTTGCCGGGGATGTCGGCCAGCAAGTGAAGGCTATCAAGAGGTCTTTATCCCAATTGCTGCATCCACCTCGTCTTCAGGTTGCAGAGTGTGCCACTGAGCAATAGGTCTCCGGGGATTGGCCAGCATATCAGACCAATGGCGCAGCTCAGTACCCGTGGCATTGCAGCCTACAAAGATCTTCCCGATGGCCTCGTTCTTGCCTAGTTTGTCGTAATCCAGGACCGTCAGGACAACCTGGACTTTCTATAGAAAGAAAAAAGGTTGGTCATCAGCATGAAAAGTAATTGGAGGGAATGTATGGATTCATCTGCCTTTCTTACCACTGCTGCCCACTGGCAATTTCTGTTTTTGACTTCTGTTTTCTCCATCTTGAGTTCCAAACAGAGGTGTGTGGCCTAGAGAGGCCAGCTTGCAGGAATAGTGGCAGAGAGGGGAAAAAAGATGCTGGCTTGAACCCATCACTTCTCCTCTAAAGCAGCATCTTTCAGCTTCACAATTATCTGAATTTCCAGGACCTTTGGCTTCCAAATAATTTGATCCTTCAGGTCAAGTGAAAGCTAACCCTAACCCTATCCTGGAGCTTTGCAAAAGGTTACAATTCTGAGAGTTTTCATTCCCTAAGACAAGCAAATCATAATAACCATAGCAAACGTCATGTCATTCTTTCCCAGTATATTAATTAGACCTTAACTTGGGCAGGATTCCTTAAGAACATAAGATTCTGGGATGTGTTACAAAGAGCTTGGTCTTACAATGTGCAAAACAAACTATCTCGAGATCTTCAAATAAAATGCAAACAATACTCCAGCAATTCCTGTTTTGAAAACGAGTCGTGCCAGTTTTGGACCAGATGAAAGTGACTGGAAATAATTGGAGCATATTTTCAAGTGAAATGGCATTGCAGGGAAGGAAGATTTACCTGGATTTGTTCAAAAGGCACCTCAAAGCTGAAGGATTCATTATAATAGGGATTCAGTGTATTTTTCTTGATAGTTGTTTTCTTCTTCTTGATACGTTTCCCTCCCTGCATGAGATGGATCTTCACATATGGATCTGGGATAGGATGACAAAGGAAATAAAAGTATGAAGATGCTTTATGATTCTCTTCTTACTCCCAATATCCTGATGAGAGAATTTAATTTTAAAGTCACTTCTAGGAAAGTAACAAAGAGCAAAATAGTTGTGTTTATGTATGTATTTTTATTGTTGGCCAAAACAAATCTTCATGGCAAGTTTTTAAGCATTCATTGAACAGGCAAACCAAGAAAGAATATTACACACGTTCATTCCCATATGTTGAACAACTGTTGATCCAAATTAAATGAGCTGGCTCATTTCTCTCCCTTTTTTTAAACCCACAACTATGGGAGACCCAGCAGTATTGAATAGGTAAGTGGCCTTTTCTGACCTCCCACCCAGGGACAATCTGAAGTCTAATTCCCATTCCTATTCTTCATATGAATATTACACATATTCACAAGCTCTTGAGAGTTGCATACTTCATTACTTCTCCTCCTCCTCACCTCTTTCCCCACGGGAACGGTTTGCTTTTATAGCCAGGAAAAGTTGAAGCCAGAAATTATGAGAGAATAGCAGGGGATTCAGAGCGCCCCCAATGTGATAATCCAAATGGTACATTAAAATGTTCAGCAATTTAAATTAAGTCTAATGGCTTAATTCTCACCTGAAAGCCCTCCCACATCCATCTTTTTGAGATTTTTGGCTTCTAGCACAATCACTGTCAGTTTCCCAGCCGTAGGGACATATCGGAGTGAAAAACAAATGTCTCCCAACTTCTCGTGCTATAGAAAGAAATGAATAATTATTTCAAAGCTAGGATGGATATTTCTCATAAATATAGATGCAGTTGTCAAGTTCTTGATTATCTTCCAAGAAGATACTTGATTACCCGTGAGTTGGGTTATTACTTCAATCATGTGGTAGTTTTCCAAAGAAAAACATTTCTAATATATATAAAAGCCACCAATGCAATTTTCAAATTACCTTTCAGTTAGAGCTCTTTATCTAACAAGGTTCTGCGCCAGTTCTTACCTCTTCCTTCTCTGCTGACTGCAGATCTCGCCACTCCTCGATCACGTGTGCCAGGTCCACAGTGTTCATGGGGATACGGATCTCACCAATGACATCATGCTTGGAGAAGCGGTCAAAGTCGTAGAGGGCCATGACGAGAATCTTACCACCAAGTTCTGAATAAGGGACCTAAGCATTAAACATAATGGTAGCACAGGATTAAATTGTATGCACATTTGTTGGTAGGTGGGGATTAGCGGTGTGAAATGAAAGGAAGTTCCACAATGGATGAGGGGAGACCAGAGCTAAAAAAGGAAGATGGCAAGGTGCATGTAGAAGAAATGTATTCGTGTATTTTTGGAACTTTGGCCAAGAGAAAAGAAACACAAACTTACTTTAAAGGTGAAAGATTCATTAAATGTAGGGTTGAGAGTTTTGCGATGGACTTTGGTTTCAAACTTTTTCTTCTTCTCTGGAAGCAGGAAGACTTTGACGTAAGGATCGGAGGTACCCCCAATGTCCAGCGCTGGGAGGTCAGCAGCTTGTATAATGCCCACAACCAACTGAGAGGGAAGATTTAAGATGAAAATATTCAAATTTAGGAAAATGCCTTCCATTGAGGCAAATCATTGATCTATCCAACTCAGGATTTCTCCGTTCCTCTGAGTATTTTCTGACAAGCAGGAATTTCCTCAAGCACCTTGAAACATGTCATCACCTTACTTTACCCACATAATTTAAAAAGAATATAGATTAAGTTATCTTCTAATTCTAATCTTTCAATGTTCACTATAACTTCTCTTGCCTTTTTTTCTCCCACCCAGTAAGGAGGTAAAGAGAATGTATTTTGTGATAGAACTTGACTACTAAAAGCAGCTAAGGTGATAGGAAGAAATGGGAACTTTTCTAATAATTTTTGCTAGGTAGAAGTTGCAAATGCTGAGCTTAGAACCTGGGGCTTTCAGTACATAAAATGTATATTATTTTTCTGAACTCCTGTAGGACATTTCCTTAGCTTTACTTGCACCCTTAATTTCAAATATTGCCAATGGGATAGGATGAAAGGAGTGTAATTACTGCAGATAAAGAAAACAGTTTAATGAAGGTAAGTTGGCCAGCTGTCCTATTATATGGTGAAATAACTCTTCATTTGATAGTATCCTTTGGAAATCTGCCTAGTTCAAGTTTTAAACTAAAAGAAGGATCAGAGACCCTGAAAATGCTCATCCAGAATTCGCAGCAAAAAGGGAACAATGACCTGGTCACCATCTTTCCCATTATAAAAAGATCTATTGTACTTCCATTTACATTATAGTAATTATTTCTCCACATGCATCGATATTTATAAACCAGAATATGCAAATAACTTTCCAGAACTTGTCTTTTCTTGTCAGTGAATTTCTTATTTTCTGGATGACGTTTGAGCAGCTTCCCTAAACTGACAAGAACACGAAGATCAGTCTGCCACTATCTGAGCCAAGGCAGGTGTTTGTCTTGCCCACCTGTGTGCTCTGGAAGTCATAATCAAGAGAGTACTGGAGTTTCCCCAGCTTCTCCTCTCGCTTCTCCACTTCAGATTCCTGTAACAACGATGGATCTAAATCCTCAACCTCTGGTTGTACCTGGAAGGAAGGAAAGAAGGAAGTGGTCCAAGTAACCAACATAAAATCATTAAGAACAAGGTGGATGAAGAACTTCTGCAAGGCCACATGATCTGTTCGCCCTTTCTCATTCTTTATCTAACTTTCAGTCTTCTATATATGGTGTGTTGAGATGTCACATCCCAGAATTTGAATGCCATCCTGCCTGGCAATTCTGATGGTTATAATCCTTGAAAGGCATCAAAGATGGGGAAAAGCTGGTTTACTTTGATCAGATATTATGAGGGCACTCATACAAGCATACAAACCACTCAGTGTGAATTTTCCCTTCCATCATACACAAATCTATCAGACAATGCTGATCTTAACAAATGGATGTTATTCAGTTGCCAAACCCTTCAATATTTTAGTGCCCGTTCTCCTGCACAGATGACAAGTTTTCTCTAAATCTGATGAAAAAAAGAGACTTGGTATGAGAATCTTGGGAGCAAGGAGAAAATTAACTCTGGGACCTGACATGTGCAGGAGGCAAACTAGTATTCCTGCCAACACTGATCAGATGAATTACTGCAGTTCATTGAAGGAATCAGAACAAATAAAAGATGGAGGAAGAATTACGTTGTCACTGGTAGCATTGCAAATAAAATGGCGGAGAGGATGCTTGGATAAACATTTTGCTTCTCTGATCCCCTCAGAGTCGGCTTGGCTTAACATAAATAGAACTTTCTAGATGCTGGCATTCTAGTCTTTGACTCTATACTTTTCTTTTGTGGCAGAAGAAGCTTTTCTGTAGTGTCTAGCGTTCACAAGTTTAACATCTTACAATCACTGCCTTCTGGGCAAACGAATCCTCAAAATTGAGCTGTATTTCCTATCCTATAAATGTCTCTCAACCTCAGCAACTTAAGATGTGTGGAGAATTCTGGGAGATGAAGTCCACACGTCTCAAAACTGCTAGGGTTGAAAAACACTTCTGTAATATTAGGCCTGTTTTTCCCCCCTTGTAAATATACTGTAGAACTCCAGTAATTACTGGTTTAAGACTGAGAAAATATTATGAAGAAGGCTTAAACAGCTCCTTCTTTTCAGTGGTTTGACCTCTGCAAAAACTCCAACAATTCATGTTCCCAGTTCATCCTTTTGTTTTTACAAATGGATCTGCACTCAGAAAAATCCACGAGTCAGGCGATACTACCTGTTAATGGCAGCTTCCTCTACAATGTTATGATTTCAGTTTTAAGATGGGGGGGGGGGAAGGCCAGACTTCCAAGCAAAAAGGTGACCATTCTTCCACCTTGCACCTTCTTCTTCTTCTTGTGCCATATCCATGATCGGACGTTGGCGATCATGTTGGCGATCCTGTTTTTATCAGCAGCCGCACGAAAAAGTGCTGCTGAGTTTTGTCCAAACCAGTCCCTTGCACCTGCCTAGTTTTTATTTCCAGTAAGGCTCAGTTTCCTTCCTTCACATTGGATTCTGAATCCAATCTGCTTTATCTCAAGACCACCTCCTTGTGTGACCTCTCACAGAACTCATGTAATTGAAACTATTCTGCTTGAGTCAAGAATCTGTGCTTGACTCTGTGTTTCCAGAGTTTTCCAGAGGGAAAAGGCTTTGGACAGCCTCTTCTCCTCCTCCTCCTCCTCCCTGGAATTGTATTTCTTCATCTTGCCCCCAAATTAGGTTATTGTTTGTCACTTGTTTCAGCAGTTGCATAATGTAATGATATCAGCATTTGATACCTGCTCATCCTAGGTCAGGGCTAGGCAACCTTGGCTCTTTTATGTCTCGTGGACTTCAACTCCCAGAATTCCTGAGCCCTCCCCCTGCTCACCTTATCAATGTAGCTTTTGCCCAACTCCTTCACTTCCTTCATGTTGATCTGTGCCTTGACTTTGTCTTTGCCTTTCTTCCCTTTCTTTTTCTTGCCACAGCATTTTTTAAAAACGCAGAAGCAGCAGCAGAGAAGCAAAAGGCCGGCAACAATAAGAATGGTGGCCAAAGCCCATGGTGGTACTAGAGTGGACACAAAAGGAGAGTAGTGGAAGAAGATGTCACAGATTCTGGAGCAAAGAGATTGCCTCGTGTTATATTACTTACTAGTTAAATATGACTTTTCCTAATTATCACTAGGAATATCTAATGGACCTTGGCTGATGTCAGGTTGATCTTAATAGGGTCAGGCCTGGTTAATGTATGGATTAGTATTGAGGCTAACACAAGCTCAAGAACTGGCAGCTGTGACTTCACAAAGTTGTATATATAATAACGATAATCTATTTATTTTAGATGTCAGTGTAAACATCTAGCTGACTGCGTGACTAACTGTTATAATCAATAATAAATTTATTATGAAATTATAGTTCTTAATGTGGCAGAAGGGAGAGTTTATTAAACATTTATGGAAGTAACCCCACATTTTATGCACCAATATCTTCTTGTTGATTGAGAAATCAAAGGAATCTATAGCAAATATTAGCTATATGATGCGGCTAGAAGTATTGAACACCAAGGTCATTCTGTTTAACAGGGAAATGGAGTGAACCATTGCAAGTTATATTTAAATGATAAAAAGTTACAGCAAGTAAATGAAGTGTTGTATTTTGGTGACTATGTATTAATCATAGGAAGATGGATGAGAAATGTTAAGATGTGAAAATGATGACTGAAAATTAATGGATAGAGGTTGGTCTCCCACAAAGAATGATTTTTTTGACAAAAGAAGTTCTGCCTTCTTTGTTGTAAGAAAAAGAGAGGGGTATATTGGAAGAAACATAAACATATGTTATGTGCAGTGGAAATGGAGTATTTAAGAAGTGTCACATAGGAGCCTGAACAAGGCATGCAAGCCACTCGGCTTACTGTCCTATAACATTTAATTGGTCATAGCCTGTGCATTTTCTAGCCATGTTTCATGAAAAATGTGCTTGAATTGTAAGCCACCCAGAATCATTGACCTAGATGGGAAAAGGAAAGAGAGAGGGGGGGGAGAGGGAGAGGAAGAAAGAAAAAAGAAAGAAAGAAAGAAAGAGAGGGAGGGAGGGAGGGAGGGAGGGAGGAAGGTGGGTGGAAAATAGGAAAGGAAAAAAAGAAAGAAAAGGAGAAAGAAAGAAAGAAAGAAAGAAAGAAAGAAAGAAAGAAAGAAAGAAAGAAAGAAAGAAAGAAAAAGAAAGAAAGAAAAGAAAGAAAAAGAGAGGGAAAAGTGATATTCTAACAACTGCACAGCCTGTAGTTTACTTAACTTTGGTGGCCCATGAAAGAACTTTTGTGGAATTACAAAAAATAGCCTTACAAATAATCAACATTAAAAATAAGACTATGTAAAATAAAAAATTGAGAAATCCTGGGTCATTTGATTCAAATAAATCAGCCTTGATAGTTTTAGTTGATCCACCCTCCAGTTTGAAATCTGAGATTGGAAACAGCCTAATTCCACCTACTTGGCAGTTTCCCCAATTTGTTCATGAATTTATCTTTCATGTCTGAAAAAACATTCGCCTTGTTGGGCATCTCGGTGGCATTGATGGAGGGTTCCAGTTGGGATTCTGTCACTTCTGAATCTATCCTGGCTGACCTCCGTGCTGCATTCATTGTGGAATCTGGAAAGTGAGAATGAAAAGGCAGATAATTTATGTACTTCTCTGGACAATTGCTACAGGTTTAATCTAAATCTTTTAATTTTTTTTCTTCTTTTAAAATTAAATAATGCAATCTAAGAGGGAAGTGTCTTTACAACAGCATCTTCTCCCTGTTCCTCATGATCTTTTTTTCTTTCTTTCTTAAAATGAAGTTTTTTATTTCCCCCCCCCCCCGTTTCTATAGAAGGGGGAAACAGAAAACAAGAAGAGGTAATGTTTGTCAGGATTTTTTTACATGATAAAGAGGTCTGGAGGTTCTTCTGTTCTCTGTTTTCTTCTCATGATTTCCCGTCAATGGTCCAGTAAACCAACGTATGTTTGAAACCCCAAACACTGAAATATCTCCTGGCATTATATTTGAACTGGCTTGTAAAATTAAAAAAAAAAAGATCAATCCAGATGGTTTTTAAAGTATTGAAACAGACTTTAGATTCAGGCAGTCCTCAACTTATAACAGTTCATTTAGTGCAGGGGTAGGCAACCTTGGCTCTTTTATGACTTGTGGACTTCAACTCCCAGAATTCCTGAGCCAGCATGGCTCAGCTTGGAAACCTCTCCCTTTCCCCTCAGCATGGCTGGCTCAGGAATTCTGGGAGTTGAAGTCCACGAGTCATAAAAGAGCCAAGGTTGCCTACCCCTGATTTAGTGATTGTTCAAAGTTACAATGGCATTGGAAAAAGTGACATGACCGTTTTTCACACTTACGACCGTTGCGGCATCCCCATGGTCAAACCTCAGATGCTGGGCAACTGACTCATATTTATGACGACTGTAGAGTCCAGGGGTCACGTGATCACCTTTTTGACTTTCTGATGAGCCAGGTCAATGGAGAAGCCAGATTCACTTAACAACCATGTTACTAACTTAACAATTGCAGTGATTCACTTAACAACAATGCAAAGAAAAGTAGTAAAATAGGGCAAAACTCACTTAACAAATGTCTCACTTAGCAACATAAATTTTGGGCTCCATTGTGGTCTTAAGTCGAGGACTACTGTACCTACTTTACCTCCTTATGTGGCCTGGTGCTAATTTTGTAATTATAATAGAACATAGGAGCAAAGCAACAGAGGCAAGAGGACTGAGTTCCACCTTGTGGTTTTTTTCCCCCAAACTTGCATTTTGACAATAACACCCAAAACCTTTTATCGCTCCTAGCTCTGGTACCAAGAAGTATTCTGCTGATAAGAATGTTCAGCTCTTGTGGCCCTCTCTCTCGTTTTACAGTGAGGTTTGTATAATCTCACTTTTGACATTCTTCTAAGAATTCAAGAGATCCTTTAAATGAAGTTAGACTTGTCCATTATTTGCTCCAAGCCACTAGGGCAACACATCTAAAACAGCAACTTCATATTACATTGTACACAACACACAGGTATTCCCCAACACAAAGGGCCTTTCAAATAAAGCGGATTGACATCCCCGTCATCCTTAGCGCTGGTTGCAGAGGACTGGTTTTACCATCACATCTAAAAGACACCAAGTTGGGGATGTTTATCGCAGTAAGTTTTATTTTCACCTGCTTCTTTTTAGTTCATGCCCAATGTTTCTTCCTTTTGGCTTTATTTTCCATTCATTATTGCGCCAATTCATTCCTCTCTCAACCCTCCTGATTTCAATTGAGTTCTAATCAGCTCCTGCTGTCTGTTTCTAAGGCAGAGGTCCCCAATCTTTTGGATACCAGGGACCGGTTTTGTGGAGAGAGGTTTTTCCGCGGACCGGAGGGTGTGTGGTTTTGTGTGCTGCCTGCATCTCTTGGATGGGGCTTTGCTTGTTTGTGCGGACCGATTGCTGGCATTCCGCAGCCCGGTACTGGTCCACAGACCGGGGGTTGGGGACCCCAGTTCTAAGGGACATACATTTGCTCCTCTCATTGTTGGCCAGCACATTGCACCTACCAAGTTTCAGGGAGCTTAGGAACTGTTCATTTTATAGCCAATTTTAAAAAGGAGACGGCCTTTAATTCAGCTTAGTAGAGCTTTCCAACTCATCAGCTGGCCCTGTTTTTTCTCTCTCATCCTCCCACGATGACCTTTCCATGATCTGTACACTGTGCTTCATGCTGTTCATTCAGTCCAAACGTAATTTGCTTACGTAAAGCAAATTAAAGTAAACAGGAAGGAATGGCAGAAGAGGAGAGAATTATTAGCACAGATGAGACATCTGACTTGTCCCATTCAGTTTTCCTCTTCCACTTACTTTAATTATAAAAACGAACGGAGCTTTCTTTCTTTCTTTCTTTCTTTCTTTCTTTCTTTCTTTCTTTCTTTCTTTCTTTCTTTCTTTCTTTCTTTCTCTCTCTCTCTCTCTCTCTCTCTCTCTCTCTCTCTCTCTCTCTCTCTCTCTCTCTCTCTCTTTTTTTTTTTTCTTCTTTNTCTCTCTCTCTCTCTCTCTCTCTCTCTCTCTCTCTCTCTCTCTCTCTCTCTCTCTCTCTCTCTTTCTTTTTACTCTACTGCAGCCACCCCAAAAGACCACACTGAATTCAACCCCCTCTACTTGTTTGCCAGCTCACCTGTCAAGCTACTCAACCAGTCTGCTCCTTGACCTCATCTGTCCAAAGAGATCTTTCCTGGTACACTATTTCAGCCTAGATCCGAGCTGCAGCCCGGCATGTAGAAAACCAAATGACAGAATAAATTATCCATGACTAACTTTCCACAAGTTATGCTTTTTATTGAGCTTTAAAAAAAATTAAACAGTCCCTATTTGTTATCTGGAGTGGTACAATCTGTGATACAGATTTACTTCCTCATCTCTTCTTTGTGAGCACATAAATGCATTGCCTCGAGCATAAATGTGTCTCAAGATTGGCACTTTTTAAATCAATGGTCTGGCGCCAATGCATCCATTCATTTGCTAAATGGAAGCCCTTCAAGCTTCTGATTACATTCCAGGCAAGCCCAGATGTGTGTTTCCCCTGTGGTTTGTCTATACAACATACACATCCAATTTCAATCATTTAGTTCACTTCTCTTCCACTGGTTTATTTCAATTGTCTTACAGGCTTCCTCAAAGTATTTCAAAGTATCCCTCAAAGTATTCCAGTCCTTGTATTACCCTTTTTGATTTAGTCTCTTGTTCCACTGTTATATTGCAACAGAGTGTCCAAGATTATCACAGCTACGCGTGTCATGAAGACCATGTCTAGCCCAACTGCTCATCGATCCTTCGTCATGCTAAAAGATGCCAGGAAAACCGGAAAAAGGTTTAAAAGGAGACACTCTGGTATTAGAGCTTTTTAGCAGGTGTTTCAGGAAAAGTGAAAGCTCAAGTTCATTGGAAAGAGTGGAATTGCTATTTTTCGAAGAAGCAACTGTAAAATGTTTCTGTGATGGAAGACAGATGCCTTCGTGGTCTGAAAGGAACGTTCAGACTTCCAGAAACATGCCTGCAGCTATTCAGCAATTTTGAGGCCGGTGATCCCATAAAGAACAGAAGGGCCAAAGGCAACAGAAGAGACAGCAACGGGCAAGTCTATTGTCTCTATATAATTAGTTAAGCCAAAAGTCTGACAGATGAGTGGAGAGCAAGCTTTGTCTAGCTAACGTGAAGTTAACAGAATTTTTCCATGCAAGGCAGGAGGGAATAATTACATTAAACAAGTATCTTGTTAATAGAGGAGTAAAAATAAAAAGAACATAAAAATAAGCAATAAAAGAAACACACACATGCAAACACACAAAACTAGAGTGCCTTCGTTTTGAAGCCCCGGGGGACGAGAGATGGGCAAGGATGGGAAGTTGGAGGGTGGATCTCTCCCTCCGTCCAGTCTCCCCTAGGACAGAGGTCCCCAACCTTTTGGGCACTAGGGACCGGTTCCGCGGAGAGAGGTTTTTCCGCAGACCAGAGGGTGCATGTTTTTGTGTGCGGCCTGCATCCCACAGATGGGGCTTTGCTTGTTTGTGCGGACCGGTTGCTGGCATGCCACGTCCCAGTATTGGTCCAGGACTGGGGGTTGGGGACCCCTGTTCTAGGAGAACAAACTTTCTTAGGCCATGTGCGACACACAGGCTTTTCCCATCTCCTCCAGATTCGTCTCTTCCATGGCTCATTTCCCAAAATGTACGTGTCTCAAGCCAAGAGGTCGATAGATTGATGCCTCTCAGCTCTTTTCCTTGGGGTTGACCCAGACAGCTTGGGGTCAGCTGCCTGGATAGTTTTCAGCCAGATTTCAAAGCCTTTTATGTGTCAACAATGTAGATCTCTGGAAAGGATAGTCCAAGCCTGGCTTGGCAGTAAGAGGGGGGGGGGTTAATTTCAATGGTTTGATTGAAGGTGTGATGGGGATGTGCTGACTTAAAAAGGTCTTGGGCAGATGCATGGGAAGGATACCTCAGTACAGGTAATCCTGAACGTACGACCAAAGTTGAGCCCAACATTGCCATCGCTAAGCGAGACAATTGTTAAGTGAGCTTTGCCCCATTTTACGACCTTTCTTGCCACAGTCGTTAAGGGACTGGACTAGAAGACCTCCAAGGTCCCTTCCAGCTCTATTCTGATTCTGATTCAAAATCCCTAAAGCAAGCAAAGAGCAATTTTGGAAAATAGAAAGATTTTCTAATATAAGCTCACTATAAACAATAACTCAAATCTGAACAATTTAAGTTTAACTTCTAAATTATTGTTGATACACACTGGATAACTGAGAAGGGCAAAGAATACCCAAAAATGTCATGATGAAGCATTATGAAGATGATAAAAAAAGCTTTTGATTGTGTTGATCATAACAAGCTGTGAAATGTGTTTAGGAAAATGGGGATCTCTGAACATTTCATTGTCCTCATATTCTCATCTTTCCTATTACCTACTCTTACTGGCATCTTATGATTATCACTTTGTTGGTTGTATCTTATGATTTATGATTGTATCTTATGATTTATGATTTATCACTTTGTTGCTTGAATGTACACTAGCTTATACACCGAAGACAAATTCCTTGTGTGTCCTATCACAATTGGCCAATAAAGAATATTCTATTCTGTTCTATTCTATTCTATTCTATTCTATTCTATTCTATTCTATTCTATTCTATTCTATTCTTACAAATATATGGGTCAGAAAGCCACAGTACAGACAGAAACACAAGTGATGAAATGTATTTGCTCCAGGTTGGTAAATATATTCTCCTTTATTTATTCAGTTTATATGCTGAAAATGTTTTAAGGGAAGTGGGATAAGAAGATGAGTGTGGTTTAAAACTTTTACAGCCATAAATGTAAAGATTCTGCAAGCTCTAGTAATAAAAGTCAAGGAGTACAGGTGAAAAATGGGACTATAAAAAAATCCAGACTAACAACAGCAGGTATAACATCTAGCCCTAGAATTGACAAGGACAATATTGAAGTAATAATAATAATAATAATAATAATAATAATAATAATAATAATAATAATAATATATTATTATTATTATTATTATTATTATTATTATTATTATTATTATTATTTCAACCTTCCCTGGAACCTCCAGTAGTTCAGGTTGGGGGACGAGTCCGTCCATTGGGATATGGTAAAACCTGTTTACCGACAGGTCAAAGAAGAATTAAACTTCCAGTGTTGGAGCATTCACCGCTTCTGGAGGCAGGTTGTTCCACTGAGTATTACGGTACTTGGTAGACCAGCCATGAAGGTCATGGAAAAAATACACAGATGCTCTAATGCAGGGGTATCCAATCTTGGCAACTTTAAATCTTGTGGACTTCAACTACTGGAATTCCCCAGCCAGCATCTTTACATTTTTGGTTATTAGACTAATGCCATGGCAGTTAAAGTCCATAGGTCTTGAAGTTGCTCAGGATGGACACCCCTGCTGTAATGTGTCTTTACCTACAAAGATCAGAATACTGCAAGCAACGGCATTCAATGTGACACTTTATGGAAACAAAAGTTGGATTTTGAAGAAGCTGGAAAAAAATAACGATGCTTTTGATGTTGGGAAAAGCTCCTGAGAATACCATGGATAGCAAAAACAAACTGCTTATAGAACAAATCAATCAAGAGAGACCAGACTCATATTAAACCTCTTTAGACACACTATGCAGAAACCTAGCTCTTTGGAGAAGGCTTTAATGCAGGGAATGGTGGAAAGAAAGAGAAGAACAGGATGACCAACAGCGAGGTGGGTGGACTCAGTTACAGTGACAATGTGTGCACCATTGGAAGTCCTGAAGGACCAGTTAATGACCAACAAATCACCATGGAGAAAAAAAATATCTGGGTGGTTGCTAAGACTCAAAAGTGACTTGAGGGCACTAGAAATAGTCTATTTCTAAACAGACTTTTCTATTTATGAATAGACTATTCATAAAATGGTTGTGCTCCATTAGCCGATTCTTGTTGATTGCCTAGTTTATTGCCATTAAAAAGGTTATTCCATAATACATATTTTCTGTCTTTAGGTCAGTGCTCCCCAACCTTTTGGCATGGTGCCTTGGTGAGGGGAGGGGGGAAGGGAATGGCAGTCGTGTGCGTGAGCCCGCACACAAGCGTGTGCAATTCCATTTGTGTAAGTGGCGGGCATGCATGTGCTGCTTCCACAAATAGAACTTTGTGTGTTAACACAAGTGGAGCTGCACGCACAGACCTGCTCCCTAGCTGCTTGCCCAGCCCGGTTGGGGACCCCTCCTTTAGGTGATCTACCTTGAAATTTTACTTCAAAATTCTTTTTCCCCCCCAATGTATTCCTTGCTAAATTGTGCTTTCCAATGTATTCCATGCTCCATACATGAGCTCACATATCATACTATGCTATAAACCATGCTTAACAGATCACAATGGCTAAGTTCACACTACTTGCCAGGCTAAACCATAACTTAGTAATAACTTAGTTGAGTAGGCAAGTTCGGAAGGCAAGGACTTGCATGTAAAGAAATGCATCTCTATCCCCCAACTGGACCATAGCGTATGTGTATATATGTGTGCACAGATGTGGATGTGTAATGTTTGTTTGTATTAGCAGACCATCTTTCCTAGGAGCCGTAAATCACAGCTTGAATCTGTTATTGGATTTTGATGTATAATCACGGATGCATTCTTTCTTTGACATTTCTGCTATTGTTTCTATACAGATACTGCTATACACAGTATATCTGCAGAGTTTCAAAACCATGACAGCTGAAAAGGAAGGAGAACACATCAGGAACTGACCAAACAAACCATCATTGGTTTGCCTAACTACCAAACTGTGGCTGGGCTCACAGAACATGCTAAGCCAGAAGACAATTTGTTTCTTTGTTTCTGTGTTAGCTTTTTGTGTGAATGTTGACATTGTAGTTTGTAAATCATGGCTTAGTACCTATTATTACACCTGCTTGACAGCCTGGATTCCTTAAGAAAGCAGTGGCTAAAGCATTGACTTAGCATGAGATGAGACAAGAAAGCAATATTTAAAAACTGAACATAAAAAAGGCTTCTCCATTGCTGAGTATGGGAGTAAAATCAGTGGATAGGAACGGTGTGGAAGCAGATTTTGGCTCAGTATTAAAAGAAATGCCTAAGGTATTTTGGCAGCAGAACAGATTGAGTCTCCTCCACTGGAGATAATTAAGCAGATGCCAGATAGTTTTCTGTCAAGGATACCATGAATTCATTCTGAATTATAAATCCCAAACTGAGCAAAAGGCTAGACTTAATGACCTTCATGGTCCCTGCCAAATCTGCCAGCCTATTGTTCTAGTTTTTTCATTGTCATGCTAATTTGCTAAATATAACATCAGAATGGGAAAAAAGGTTGTGTTCTGCTATATAGGACTCGTAAGCATTTTGCGCCCTTCTTGTTTTAGTGCAAGCTAAGCCAAAATCTCTGTTTTACTCTAAAGGAGCATCAGATGAGACAGCATCGGGTTAGCGGAACTAAGAGATGTCTGAGACTTGTGGCAGGGAAGTGGCAATGCAACGAAGAATGTGCTTTACAAATATATTTGGAGGAATACTTTAATATGATAGTGAGGACCCTTGTACTGGTCTTTGATGCACTAAATCAAATTGAATTTAATAGAATAGCGAGGGCCCACTATTACGGTAAGGACAGCTGTAGCTACATAAATCAACGACATGGATAAAGCAACAAAAATCAAAAACCAATTCCACTGGTTTTCTCTGATATTGCAGACTTCTCCCAGATTTGCCTTCAAAATTATCTCAGAGTGCAAGACTGAGGGCAGGGCTAAATTGAAAACCAAACAAAATGACGGCATAAAAATGAGGAAACAAATAATATTTGTTTGAACAACTGCTGTTTTTTCCACGAGAGCAGGCGTGGTGGGGCTACAATACCCCTGAGTGGTTTCTTGCTTTCTCTTGTGTGTGCAAGCACTCAAACACACCCCTTTCGCATAGCTTCTCTCTATTATGGCAAGCCAATGTGCCTCGGGAAAGCTGCCGGAACGAGGGGGAAGGAACGTTGGAAGAAAGGAAGATGCAACAGCCACGGCTCTCTGCTTTACAAAATGTAGAAGCCACTAATTGGATGCAACATCTCTCTGGACATTTAACAGAAGAGCAGCAAATAGAACAAATGAATTAATTAAATAAATAAATTAAACCAACAAGCAAATTTCAAGAAGGCGGATGCCGCAGTCCCAGGTGATGAGGAAGCGGCTTCAAATAACAGCAGGGGACGGTGCTCAGAATTTCAGGACCTTGGACAGAGGTCCCGCCCAACCAGATTGGGGTTATTATACAAGGTTCCCTTAAATTCCTCTCCTCCTAAATTCTCTCTCCTACCCTCCTCCTTTTTTAACTAAATCCTACAAATCCACCACATCCTCCATCTCCTTTGATTCCATTTCCTTCCAAAGCACAGACTCTAGCTCCATGTCCACCATTAATTCAGTAATACACACCCCTCCCCCGCAGCTTCTTGGTTTGACAAATTGCTCAGAAAGACATTCTTCTCTTTCTTTTGCCCCCCTCCATCTCCTCTCTGCCCCCCTTCCCTGGGGACCTTTAACATGGGTATGATTTCCATCCTGAATAATTAACAACGGACAACAAATCTGGGTGCAAAGGACCAGAAAACTCAAGGGGACAGCTAATTCAGATTATCCACAATGCATGCTTGTCTCCATTTCAACCAATCAAATTGGCAGATCTATTTCTTCATCTTGGATAGCCACATTCATCTCCTGCCAAATAGGACAGGACAGACTCAGGACCTTATAATAAACACTACAAAGAAGAATCTTGCTCTCGTCATTGCTCCTGTAAAAGTAGGAACATATCAGCAATATTTCAACTTGAGGCACTTGGCTTCCTTTTTACTTCTCTCAGCATCTACTCCATCCCCAAATTCTGTTTAGGGTCAAAGGAGGCTGCGGATGAAGGCTATGGTCTGTCTCTCAGCACCTATTGCTTGACTTGCTCTGCTATCTGCATTGATGGCAGGTGCTGCTGATCCATTGATTGATTTTTGCAAACTTGATTGTATTTACATGCTACATCCTGTTCCATATAAAAAAAACCCAAACAAGTTCAAAGCCAATAAATAAATAATGAAACAGGATTTATTTCCTGAGAGCTCCATTGTTGATGCTTCCAAATACAGGTAGTCCTTGACTTACAACAGTTTGTTTAATGATCGGTCAAAGTTACAACGGTACTAAAAAATGTGACATATGGGCATTTTTGACACTTTGAAAAGCAGCCTCTGTATAAAAACATACAAGGAAGATGGCATAGAACAAGACAGGAGCACCAGAGCCCATGCTGAAGTAGTAGCAGCTGCCCCCTTTTGCAGTCAGTTCCACTCGGTTCTCTCCATTTGGTATTTCTAGGGGCATACTAGTGGCTTAACCATACATGAAGGAAACCTAACCAGTTTGTAGTAGTTATGAACTATTGGATGAAATAAAACTAGACTGCTTGTTGGAAACAAAGCTAAAGCATAAAGTAAATGTTTGGGACACATAATGTGAAGGCAAAAATAATACCGGAAAAGCTTAATACAGTACTTGGAAAAGTCAGTATAACAATGGTATCTTGGTATTCTTTTAAACTCTTTGAATAACACATTTTGACATGAACATTTTGTCCTGGTACTCATTGTTTGTTTGGTGCTAAACACACAAGCTAGAACTTGTCAGTGTTGGCTGCCTCTGACTCATTAGTCTTTCCAAACAAAACAAAGGGTCATGTGTTAGTCACGTGCTTTGTTTGATACTCATTTTTAGTGCTTGCACTTCCTGGAACCAATTAATGACAAGTTCTGAGGTACCACCATATTGAAAAATACATCACTGATGACACAAACAGAAAAAGCAACTAGGGACAGACAAACTTAGCAAAATGATGGCCATCAAATCATGAAGAGTCAGAAGTGACAATTATAAGTTTGCTATTCCATATTCACAGGATCGGTGTATTATTGTAAAGTTAAACTAAGCTATAACAAGACATAATTAGACTTTGCGGTCAAGCTAAATCACAATGTGTTCTATGTTTAAACTGGGCTTGAATGAATACAGAGAGTCTTCATTTGTTTAGCCACTGTTCAAAGTTACAACAGCACTGAAAAAAAGTGACTTATGACCAGTCCTCGTACTTAGGACCATTGCAGCCTCTCCATAGTCGTGCAATCAAAATTCAGTACTTGGCAATTGCCATATATTTATGACAGTTCCACCATCCCAGGGTCATGTGATCAAACATTTCTGACCTTCCCCGTTGATTTCCAAGAAGCAACGTCAAGTAGGAGAGGCTGTATTTGCTTAACAACCATGTGATTCACTTAACAACTGCAGTGATTAACAACCATGGCAAAGAAGGTCATAAAATCAGGCATGACATACTTAACAAGCGCCTTGCTTAGCAACAGAAATTCTGGTCCCAATTGTGCTTGTAAGTCAAGGATTACCTGTAACTAACATTTAGCTTTTTTTTTTTTTTTTAATTTGTATACCGCCCTTCTCCCATAGGACTCAGGGCGGTTCACAGCATATTAAAAACAAATAATATACACACAATACAAAAAATGCAAAATACAAAAATACAGAAATACAAAAAATAAACCCCGATAAAAGCCGAATTAAAACCAAATATTACCAGCTGTGTTTCCAATTAAAATACTTTAAAAATTATCCCTA